CGCGGAAACGGGACCCAGCCCCGCCGCGGGGGAAGGCGTCTGTATGCGGGGTCCGGGTAATTTACTGCTTCCCTGGGTGAATTACGGTATTTTTCACAAAATATTAATAGTGAGCGTAAAAGTAACGAAATAGTAATGAAATGGTTATGAAATCAGAGTATTTTGTGCTCGCAGCAACTTGGGGAAAAAGCAAATATGTCGAATAACTTTTAAAATTCAGGATCTCGGAGAATTTGGAGGAGCAAGAGAAAAATGCACCTTGGCAAAACGGGCAAAACGGGCAAAACGGTTCAGCGCGCAGGAGCGGTCCCAGGGCTGCGGCACGCCGAGACGGGGGGTCTCCAGGGTGCGAGGGTTCACTCTTTTGGGAGAAAAAAGTCCCCACCCCACGACTCGAGGCGTTAGGATCTCGTGGGAGCAGAAATGCCGGCGGTAAAATCCTGCCCTAAAATGAGGGGTGGCGGGCGATGGCAGGGACCAGGGCACCCATCCCCGAAGAAGGGACCCTTCGGCACGCTTGGCCGGCGGCTGCCGGCCGGGTCGCTGCGGGGCGGGGGCGGACGGACGCGGTGCGACGGCGCAACGAGCGCGGGGAAGCGGAGGGGCCCTCCCCAAAATGCCGCGGCCGGGCGGGGGAGGGGGGGAAAGCTGTTTTTCTCCTTGGTTAGTCGATGTCTTAAACACAGCCAGAAAAGAACATTAAAGGCATTTCTAGATTTCGTTTCAGTTTTGGTTGGTTTTTTTTTTTTTTTTTTTTTTTTTTATTCCCATGCTCTTAATTTTGAAAAAAAAAAATAATCACAAAACATAACTTATAAAACAATATATATACTGCATCCTTATCCACAACAGCATAATTGAAACATCCAGCGTAACGTTTACCACAGGTGTGAAATACACTGGGAAAGAAGTACCGTGTGCATTTTATATTATGTTTCTTTGTCATCTACAGGTAATAAGTATCGACAAAAAATAAGCAACAAATATGCCTGCAATTAAACTTCATATGCGTTTTGTATGCGTATTAATAAAGATCATATTTATAATTTCCATGGTTTGTTTTTTTTTCTTTTTTTTTTCTTTTTTTTTTTGCCAACAAGCACTTGTTAAAGTATCTACATTTACATAATAGTACCTTAAGATAATAACACCTTAAGATAATTTTTTTGTTGTTGTTCCTTGTTTTTCCTTCACAGTTAGAAAAGCAAGGAACGCTTTCAGCTTTGCTAAGCAACCTTTCCGGACGCCGAGGCTCGCTGTTTCTCTAGCAGAGATGCAGTATCTGGATTCACTTCATAACAGACCGTTTTCCGTCTTTTTTCCTTTTTCCTAGACTCTCTGAAAGGTTTTTGTTTGTTTGTTTGTTTGTTTGTTTTTTAAAGAGAAAAAAAACAACCCTGCATTTAAATAAAGATGAATGATAATTTCATTATCAGGATAAGACTTTGGATGGGGAGAATGCTGAACAGTTTTCGCACCGCTGGAGGGTTTCTGTGCTCTCTCACAACCGGGGATACTGCAGTCTTTTGGAAAGGATGAAGAGGTAGGAACCTTGAGCTGCTTAGTATCAGGAATGACTGGATTATAGCTTCCAACTAAAGAAAAAACATCAAGAATCATGCATTTTAAAAACAGTTTATTCAACGGCCAAGGACAATGATCCGGCACAATGCAACGGTAGATATAAATATAACCTTATATAAGTGGTTGACCCTTGTCATTATTACTTTTAATAGTCTCATACCTAATATTTTAACAATTTTTCCCGCAGAATCTACTCTGCGAATTATATTTTTTTCCCCCCACCCTTTTTTTTTTTTTTTTTTTTTTTTTTCGGGTGTGATTCTGTTCCTCAGTGGTAAACATTAACCAAACTCTTCCCGTGCGACAAGCGGCCAAGAACCGTCCCACCAGCTCTCACCACCGAGGCGGCTCCCCCTCGCCGCCCTCCCTGCGGGGAAGCGGCCGCCTTACCAACTCCTGTGCAAGTTCAAGTAAACACATACAACCCGCATAATCCAGAGAAAAATTGCAACTCATCCATGTACCAGATTTCGGTGTCTCTTGCAAAAGTTTTCTGGTCCGTTTACGGTTTTTGATGGTTTAGTTTTATTTTATTTTATTTTATTTTTAAAGCGCTGTTTTGTTGCTTGCGTCGTTGGTTTGCATCAATATATTTTTTTTTTCTAGACAGTCGAAGTCCGCGGAGCTTTTGGTTGTGTTTTTTTGGCGGTGTTTTGTTTTAGTTTTGTTGTTGTTGGTTTTTTCCCTCTCTCACTTGCTCGGGTTTTGCTTTTAATCATCATCGGGTTTCAATTTTATTTTTTTTTTCCTTTTCCGTTCAACATCGCTTTGCTTCTGCTTCGCTTTGTCGGCGGTGCTTTGTCGAAGGTGGTTTGTGTCCAGTCCGTCAACTGTTGTACTGACAGGCGTTTAGACTAGAGCCGGGGCTTTGCAAACTGCTGTAGCCGAAACTGGAGTGCTGCTTTGATTTCAGTCTGAGACTGGCTAAGCTGGAGTTGCAAGTGTCCCGGTAGACGCTGTAAGGTGAGCCCGGTGGCCCGTAGGGACAGGCCGGCGAGGACATGGCCGAGTTCAGCGAGGAGCCGCTGATGTTGTTGATGTTGTTGAGGCCGGAGTTGGCCATCCCCGGCACGGCCGAGTGGCCCATACTGGAGGGCATGTTCATGGAGGAGATGCTGCTGGGCGCCGAGAACATGGACTGCGAGGAGAGGGGGCTCATGGAGTTGAAGAAGGTGAAGCTCTTGGTGGAAAGCGGCGCCGGGGTGAGGCTTTTGGTGGCCCAGTTGTTGTAGGGGTACCCGGCGTACATGTCGTCGTAGGGCTGCATCAACCCGCTGAACTGCGGCACGTAGCCGTTCTTGCACAGGTCCATCTGCTGGTTCCGCTCCCGCTTTCTCCACTTGGCTCGGCGGTTCTTGAACCAGACCTGCGGGAAAAAAGGCGGTGGGGGGGTTGGGGGGAACGGGGACACACAG